CTGGTTATTTTTTGTTGCAGTTTGGCTGGGGCTGGGTTTGAACCCACCACTCTTGGTATATGGGGCCGGTGCCCTACCCACTGAGCCACAGGCACTGCCTATTCCTGAACTATTTATTCAATTTGAACAAAAACTTGAGAAGTTGCTGTGGGTGTGAAAAGAAGGTAGTAAACACTAAATCCACTTAAGAATAAAGTAAACTATCAGCACTAAAATAAAGTGATGAAAATTATTTCTAATTTAATAAGAAAAAACTAATGTAATAAAAAAATAATAATGTGACAGTGACAGGAAAATGTTTCCAAAAAGAAATAACAACTAGAAATAGCATGTACAACACAAGTACACTAATTCTTCTAAAGAGGAATTAAGAGTTTTATTTCTGATAAGAAACACAGAGTTTAGACTATTATTTGAAACTAAAAGAGCAATAATTCGTGGGCTGAAACTAAATATGTGTCTCCAAGTTAACATAGAAGGCAAAGGGAATAAAAAAAAATCACATAAAAATCCCTCAGAAAGTATTACTAAAGCCAGAAAACAAAAAGTAAACCTTTAGATTAACTCAATAAATATCTGTTAAATTGGGTCAAAAAACTGAACCTAATTATAGATCATCAATAATGGATACTGTTAAAACAGGCCTCAGAAAAGTTTAAAGTTGAAAGAGAAGCAAAAACATACCACATAAATGCAAACAAATTAGACTCATAAATATCAAAAGATAGTGTCAGATCAAATGTGCTTCAGTGCAGCCCAGGCCCTGCCCACCCTGCCCCAGCTCCCTGCATCCCACACTCCTTCAGAGGTCAGCTGGCCTCTGCACTCGTCATACTCCTGCCACTGCACACACACACACGGCCTTTGCACAAACTCCCTGTCTGTCATAACCATTTTTAAAAATTTATTTTGCCTTTTCATCACTGAGCCTGATAATACTGTGAAAAGTAGTACAGATGGAAATCACAGCAAGTTTGTAATTGTCTTCATGAAGCTTTCTTTAAACTTATTTCCTTGATACACAAGTGACCCTAATAAACAAGAAAACCCTAATAATTATAGGGCAGCGCCTGTGGCTTAGTGGGTAGGGCGCCAGCTCCATATACTGAGGGTGGCAGGTTTGAACCTGGCCCCGGCCAAACTGCAGCAGAAGATAGCCGTGCATTGTGGTGGGCACCTGTAGTCCCAGCTACTGGGGAGGCTGAGACAAGAGAAAGGCTTAAGCCCAAGAGTTGGAGGTTGCTGTGAGGAGT